ATCATCCGGACTATATGGGAAGGACCCCCAGCCGTATAATCACATGTTCCGGATAATAGTACTTTTTCACCTCTGAGTCCAAAAGTGACCATTTCTAACTATTTTTATACTACAAACAACATAATTTGAATTGCCTTGCTACATATAATTATTAAATATTCAACTAGAAACCTCAACTTGTTGTTGCTCGTCTTCTTGATTGATGCCACACATCTTGAAGTTAAGAATGCTTGACAATTTACGTAACCTATATTAACACAACACTAAAATTAACACTTAAAATTACTGTACAGTTCATTAAGCAAAGTTAGTTTTGACTGCCAGCTGCTGAAGCCTCACTGGTTGAAGGCGCTTGGCATGCCTGTGACGCCTCACTGGTTGAAGGCGCTTGGCTTGCCTGTGACGCCTCACTGGTTGAAGGCGCTTGGCTTGCCTGTGACGCCTCACTGGTTGAAGGCGCTTGGCTTGCCTGTGACGCCTCACTGGTTGAAGGCGCTTGGCTTGCCTGTGACACCTCACTGGTTGAAGGCGCTTGGCTTGCCTGTGACGCCTCACTGGTTGAAGGCGCTTGGCTTGCCTATGACGCCTCACTGGTTGAAGGCGCTTGGCTTGCCTGTGACGCCTCACTGGTTGAAGGCGCTTGGCTTGCCTGTGACGCCTCACTGGATGAAGGCGCTTGGCTTGCCTGTGACGCCTCACTGGATGAAGGCGCTTGGCTTGCCTGTGACGCCTCACTGGATGAAGGCGCTTGGCTTGAGTTTCGTACCATATAAGAATCAAGTTTAGATTGCCTTCTGTGTTCAGTGGCCTGTTGTATGATCAGCTCTTTGGTTCACCTCAGGTACTGGTGCATGTTTCCAACTTCTGGATGAGCACAATTGGATGAAAAATTTATTAATCCGTCAACTTAGGTCATGAGTAAACTGTATTTCGTGGTCATTGGTGTTGGTTCTTTACCGTCTTCTTCATCCTCCTCATCTTCGTCGACCTCACCAGTAACAGACTGGAGAATCTTGTCTTCACTCATCACACTATATCCTGGGTCATTGGCATCTTTTTCAAGCCAATCAACCACATCCTGTCTTTCTAAGTTTTTGTCGGCATTTCTGAACATTCCATGGATTTCATCTGACAATCCTTCAAAATCAATTTCTTCATCCTCCTCATTGCTGACCATAGATGTGAGGAGTGTTTTCCAGGACTTCTTCAAGTCGATTCCTTTACTTCACTCCACACCTTGGCCTAGTTATAGATGGCTTCCTTGATTGTATAGTTCTTCAAATTATCAAGTTTTTTTTTAACCCTGTTATCCACACCGAGGTCAAGATCTTCTGGAAGAGGCAAAACCACCAAAACTTCGTTGAGCATCTTTTTGGTGTACAACCTCTTCGTGGCACAGATAACTCCCAGATCCATAGGCTGGGATTAGAGAGGTTGTGTTAGGAGGAAGTGCCATACACGTTATCTTGCCATCATGTGCAAATAACGTGTCAGTTCTGGGGTGGGCAGGCGCATTATCAAGTAGCAGCAAAGCCCGAACTTCGCTTGGCCTTACTTTGAGTTTCTTAACTTGATAGTCACGAACTTCCCTGCAAAACACATGAAATCAGGCAAGAAAGATCTCCTGTGTAAACCACTCATTGTTTGAGTTATAATATTTCACTGGCAGTCTGTGTCCAAGCAATGTTGCAAGGCTCTTGGTGTCTTTGATTTGCCAACAATTGCACATGGGATTCTGTCTGTGCCGTCGGCATTCGCACACATCATGGCCGACAGCCTGTCCTTGTTAACCTTACGGCCTGGCATACAACCCTCACTCCTCATAGCTAGAGTTTATGATTAACTCCTCTAATACAGCCAAGTTTCATCTGCATTATAAATTTGATAAGAATATAAATTATTTGACAAAATGTATGTTCTAATTTATGTTTAAATGGTTCTACACTGCTTGTATCTGCACTCAATTTTTCACCGACAATTTTCCTCTTCACAATATTGTCTCCCCCCTTTTGAACCTTGCAACCCACCCTTTACTAGCTTGGAAATCCTGTATTCCAAGGCTTGTTGCAAACCTGTTTGCAGCATTTTGTATTTCTGGGCCGCGAACTGTCACGCCAGCTGTGCGGTGCTGAGCAAACCATTTGTACATGTTACGATCCTGGGTTTCTCAGTGGAAACCAGAGGTCAAATTAAGCTCTAAATAATTTACCTTACATTATTTGGTGCGCTTGTATCTTCCTTGCCAGACGTAAGACAAATCTTGTTTCTCACAGAGCATTCAGACTCTTGAGCTTGTTGTGGATTAAGTATAACATTGTAGTAATTATTAACTATCCTTAGAACGAGTAAAGTAAATAATATTGTACATTGGTGAAGATTTGTAATGTGTATAGGCTGCACGATCAATTAGGCTCTACCCGGCACCACAACAACTCGGGAGCTCGGTGGCTTTCTTCTCTGTTCGGGCTGTGTGGTGTAGAGACCTACCTTTGGGAATCTGCCTGGATTCTCCTCTTCCTTCTCTCTTCCCTTACCTTATCCTGTGTCTAGTTTACAAAGCTAAGTACCGGTTGCTTGTACGTTTTCTGGCATAAGTGTGTAGATATTGTGTAGTATAAGCCAGTGTTTTGGGTACCCCTAAGTGTTGTGTTGTGTTAGGGTACACCACGTGGGCTCACTACCCTAAGCTGCGTCAAGCTTCAAGTTCTTCACCAGTAGACTTTACCCTAGCTTGTCCTAATTGTAAAACCTTATATCCTGCCTATGTGGACCAAGGCTTTTAACGTAAGATAGTGTGGTAAAGTAATTATGGTTATTGTTATTTAATGTATATGGGGGTTGTTAAGAGGGTTTAATAAATAAGTTAGTTTTTGAGGTGTATCCATTACTCCTGTTGTAGTGATGTAGTTGATTGTATCCCAGAAGACAGATCTGTTCTAAAACCTTAAAGTATAAACAGGAACCTATGTTCCTTGGGGGCCGGGCCTAATTGTGTCACTACCCTGTTACACCTTGATTCTAACTGCTGACCCTTTCCATAATACTAGATCCCCCATAACAGCTCATAAAATCTTAACAGTACACAGCCTCATCCAACTGTACATGCATAGAATTTTTCAAAGTTTTTCTATCACAACCTCTGCTAGTGCTTGCACCTTCACTCTCACTGGTTGAAATGTATTTCAGATATTTCTCCTTTTGTTTCCTTATATCAGAAACAATACTAGTGCCTATATTAAATTCCTTACAACACTTGAAGTCGACCGGCCATGTTCACAAAGTTGTATAACACGTAACTTGCCCTTAATTGTTAGGACAACCTTCATCCTCTTAACAACTCCAGAATAATTCATGCTGCTACCAGACATAGTCTTGGCCAAAAATGTTCAAAGTTACTATGAAAATAAAAAAGTTATTTAAAAAAATATTTCACTAATGGCGAGGCACTGTGGCAAACGAGGGACAAGAGCACATGGCTTGACCAGGCCTGGACGGGTCCACTTGGGGCAGGGAGGCACGTTATGTAGGCCGCCAGCAGGAAAAAATTACAATATTTTTGAAGGAAATTTCAGCTTGTGCAAATTGTTTTTAGGAAACTTTTATAATATTTTTTATTACATAATTACTAGTATTTTGGACAATTCACTGCTTGTCCTGCTGACTGTCCGGATAGTGCAACGTTGGCAGCAAGTTAACCGGCCCAGATTTTTTATCCGGCCAAACACTCGATTTTCCGGCTCATATGTATATTTTGGCTGGATATTGAGATAACTTTATCCTATCACGATTTTGGCCGTATAAGGACGTTTTCTGGATATTCAAATCCCGGATAATCGAGTGTCTACTGTAATTTAAAGGTAAAGTGCTCATAGGCCATTGTTCTCTCTGCCTCTGATGGGACCAGGTTCTGGCTCGTGGTTCCCGGTAGGCATAAAGTACTCCCATGATTGATTATCCCCAAACTAATATTGCACATGTCAGTTTGGATAGCTTCAGGAAGCCTCTGATGCTTGCCAGAAACTGGCATTTCATTACATTCAACACTGGTTTTTAGTTTCTTGCTTTTCATACTGTTCCTCTTATGCAATTTGGTGATGTATATACCGTATTTGCTGGCGTATAAGATGCTCTTTTTTTTTTTAATTTTTAAATGCATCAAAGTGCCCTGCGTCTAATGCGGTCATATTATATATAGGAGACAAACACCATATGCTTGGGAGCAGGACGAGCATACTGGGTAAGTTCGCTAGGTACAAAAACTGTTGCTAATAATAAAATATTGAAAGAAATCAAACTATTATAGTAAATTGTGGTAATAATAATAAAATATTGAAAGTAAGCAGAGTTACCATGGTCTGTTATCACAAACTTACGATATGTTGGCAGTTATGAAGAAAGTTCACATAATCTCACCACTTTACCTATCAAACATAACCCACATCTGGTATGTCATACATTATTTAAAGAGTGTGTTACTTTGAAGACACAATTATTCATTATCTAAATGAAAAGTGCTCCTACAAATATGAAAGGAATGTTTAACTTTCATCCGCCTGTCAGCAATTTGCAATGTGTGAATGACAACTTTACCAGAGTGCTGTGATAGTGCGCCGGGTGCGCTGCCCTAGTGAATTTTAGCAACAAGAAACATCACATCCAGAAATACAAGTTTCACATCCTGTATAGCAAGTTTTTTGCCCAAAATATAAACAACTACACAGCTGATTTTAGAGAAGGTAAGAGTTGTGGTACAAAATCCACTTTCAAATATCATTCAATAAATTTATGATGAAACCTACTGAAATAGTTTTTTCCACTAGATATCCTTGTAAAATAGGGACGCTTCCTGTGTGAGGTTGCATCTTATGCGAGGATGTGTCCTATGCAAGGGTGTATCTTTTACGCTAGCAAATACGGTATATGTGTCATAATGTTTACTTATGTAAAATGTTCCATCCCTTGCTGATAATTGATCTTAACAATAACATTTTTCTTTACAGGGTTACAAAGACAATCCAAAAATAAATGCAGTTTTTGTAATAAAGGGAAGATTAGATGGTAAGTACTCGATCAGCTCACTATTTCAAATTATATGGGATAGATCCCAGTTAAAATTACTTGAATTTTTAATGAAGCAGTCAGAATGATGAACAAATTCATATTTTGTACCACAGATTACTTAATTTGTATTTCCACTAACAGTATCATAAACATAAATTTACATTAAGGCAGCATCTATATAGAAATAAATAATAGAATGACAATAAAAGAAATTTAACTTGGGGTGTCAATAACTGTCTTGATCACCGAAGGAGTTAAAGGCTTGGCATATTCTGTTCTAAGTTTTAGCTGCCGAGGCCTCACAGGTTGAAGGTCTTTGGCTTTCAGATTTTACCAAATTTGAATCTATTTTGCCTTGTCTCCTTTTTTCATTTGCATATTTTATTCAATATCTTGACGTCCAGTGATGGGTACATAATTAATGTGTCAATATAAATCAGTAGGTCATTGTTTTTTGTTGTGTGGCATTACTGCCACCACTAACTCTTAATCCTTCACCTCACCAGTAATGGACTGGGGAAACCTTTTTCCTCAATCATTATACCATAATCTAGGTCATTGGCATCTTTTTATACCCAGTCAAATATATCAGCCTTTGTAAATCCTCACCAGTTTGTCTAAAACTACCATTTATCATCAGTAAATCCTTCAGAGCTTAATTTTTTCACTATCTCATGAACTGGAACTGTTAGAGAGTTTTTCCATGAACTATTCAAAGAGGATTACTTAACCTCATATCCAAACTTCAGCTCAGTTATATATAGCTTCCTTTACCAAATATTTCTTTAACCTTCAAAGTGTAGTATCTTCATACCTTGATTCATGTGGTAATGTGGTTATCATCATGCTGGTATAGATATTATAGAACTACAGTGGCCCCTCTGTTTACAAATTTAATCCATTCCCAGGGATGGTTCATAAGCCGAAAATTCACACCCCGAAATGAATTTTCCCATAAGAAATAATGTAAATTGAAATAATCCATTCCACACTCCGAAAAATATTAACTTCAAAATATATTTCATACCTAATTCACACAAATATTTATTACTATAGTATGTACAAGTTATTGCTTACCTTTATTGAAAATGACTTATTGGCATATGGAAGACGATGAGGGGGGGTGGGGGAGGAGGACAGGTGTTAGTGTAATTACCTAATTGTAATTATTTTTTTACCTAAGTGTAGTTACAGGATGAGAGCTACGCTCGTGGTGTCCCGTCTTCCCAACACTCTTTGTCATATAACGCTTTGAAACTACTGACAGTCTTGGCCTCCACCACCTTCTCACCTAACTTGTTCCAACCGTCTACCACTCTGTGTTTGGAAAGGGAGTTCCCTTCTAGTATAACATCATGCAGTGATGACTTCTCTTGCGTACTCTCTCTCCTATGTTTTGCAGACATACCACTAGGACCTGGTTGTGGCTCACTGCTTGTTTTTCCTCACTAAAAACCTTTCCATAGAGACTCGTTTTTCCCTACATTGTAACACTTGTCTGTAGTGAGGCATCAGTGTCATTAAAAAGGTTAAGGCAACGGCCTACTTCAGCATGCTGTGGGTGAGTCGTTTCAACAAAAGTTTGCATTTCTTCCCATAGTCTACACCACTTCTTAATTGTTGAGCAAGGGACATTGTATTGCCTGCCTCCTCCCTCTGGGGAAATTTCCTCAGCGCTCTTGTTGTTGTTACAGATTCAGCTACTCGGAACAAGTTCCAAGTAACACGAGCTATGGTGAGCCCGTAATGGGCTTACCTGGCACAGGAGCGGTGCTGTGTGTCCTTCCTCAGCTTTCTCTTGTTGCTGCTCCTTGTGAAAGGCTAGGAGATCTTCGGTGGGCAGCTCTTTGCTGTGTTCCTCCACCAACTTACAACGCACAACACTCGCAACTCTCTCAACACTGTGAATGCCGCCACTTTTTCTTAATTTCTCAAACCATCCCCCTGCTCGCCTTAAACTCTCTTGTATCTGCATCACTCATTCCAGGGGGTTTTCTGTATAAGAGCTTCTTGCAATAGCCATCCTTTTTCACAAATGATGGTCTCTGAAATGTTATCATCTGCTAACTCCTTGTTGTGTATCCAAATTAATAAAAACTTTTCAATATCCTCAAGTGTTTGTGTTCTTTGTTTCATGATTGTTGATATGCCTTTTGCCACTTTAGGACTCATAATGTCCTTTTTCTTAGCAATTACAGTGCATATTGTTGGCATAGATTTGTTGCACTGCCTTGCTAGTTCAACACCCCGAGTACCATTTTCATGTTCACGAATAATCTCTTGTTTTTTCTCTATGGTCATCCTCACATGTGTTTTCTTAGGTTGAACCTTATCACTGACTTTCCTGGGACCCATGGTGTGATATATAATAATTACTTTTATGTTCAAAACCCCAGAAAAGCAAAACTTGGTATTTACCTTGCCCTTGGGGTCAGCTGGGGTTTCATGGCCTTTGTTTAGACCTGGGTAGGAAGTGTTGTTGTTGTTGCTGGTTGGGGTGCAAGGTGCTGGTTGATACCTGGTTGATGGGGTTCTGGGAGTTCTTCTACTCCCCAAGCCCGGCCCGAGGCCAGGTTCGACTAGTGAGAGTCTGGTCCACCAGGCTGTTGCTTGGAGTGGCCCGCAGGGCCACGTACCCACCACAACCCGGCTGATCCGGAACTTCTCTTAGAAAACCGTCCAGTTTTCTCTTGAAGATGTCCACGGTTGTTTCGGCAATATTTCTTATAGTCGCTGGGAGGACGTTGAACAACTGCGGACCTCTGATGTTTATACAGTGCTCTCTGATTGTGCCCATGGCACCTCTACTCTTCACTGGTTCAATCTTGCATTTTCTTCTATATCGTTTACTCCAGTACGTTGTTATTTTACTGTGTAGATTTGGGACCTGTCCCTCCAGTATTTTCCATGTGTATATTATTTGATATCTCTCGTCTCCTTTCTAGAGAGTACATTTGGAGAGCTTTGAGACGATCCCAATAATTTAGGTGTTTTATCTCGTCTATGCGTGCCGTATATGTTCTCTGTATTCCCTCTATTTCAGCAATCTCTCCTGCTCTGAAGGGGGAAGTGAGTACTGAGCAGTACTCGAGACAGGACAGCACAAGTGACTTGAAGAGTACAACCATTGTGATGGGATCCCTGGATTTGAAAGTTCTCGTAATCCATCCGATCATTTTTCTGGCCGACGCAATATTTGCTTGGTTATGCTTCCTAAACGTTAGATCGTCGGACATCATTATTCCCAAATCCTTGACATGCTGTTTTTCTACTATGGGAAGATTCGATTGTGTTTTGTACCCTGTATTATGTTTCAGATCCTCATTTTTGCCGTACCTGAGTACCTGAAATTTATCACTGTTAAACATCATGTTATTTTCTGCTGCCCAATTGAAAACTTTGTTGACATCTGCTTGTAGTTTTTCAATGTCTTCAGCAGAGGTAATTTTCATGCTGATTTTTGTGTCATCTGCAAAGGACGACACGAAGCTGTGACGTGTATTTTTGTCTATATCAGATATGAGAATAAGGAACAGTAGCGGTGCAAGGACTGTACCTTGAGGTACAGAGCTTTTAACGTCGCTTGGACTTGATTTTATCTGATTGACTGTTACTCTTTGTGTTCTGTTCGACAGGAAATTGAGTATCCAGCGTCCTACTTTTCCAGTTATTCCCATTGACCTCATTTTGTGAGCTATCACCCCATGGTCACATTTGTCGAACGCCTTTGCAAAGTCTTTGTATACAACATCTGCATTTTGCTTTTCTTCTAGGGCTTCTGTGATTTTGTCATAGTGGTTGAGTAACTGTGACAGACAGGATCTTCCCGCCCTAAATCCATGTTGTCCTGGATTGTGCAATTCATTGTTTTCCATAAAACTAGAAATTTGATTCCTAATCACTCTTTCAAACACTTTTATTATGTGTGATGTTAGTGCAACTGGCCTATAATTTTTTGCCAAGGCTTTACTCCCCCCCCTTGTGCAACGGAGCTATATCTGCAGATTTAAGTGCTGCTGGTATCTCCCCTGTATCCAGGCTCTTTCTCCATATTACGCTGAGTGCTCTCGCTACTGGTACTTTACATTTCTTTATGAATATTGAATTCCATGAGTCTGGCCCAGGAGCTGAGTGCATAGGCATATTGTCAATTTCTCTTTCAAAGTCTTCAGAGTTTGTGGTAATATCCGTTACATTATCTGCAGCTTGAATGTCCCTCATAAAGAAGCTGTCTGGGTCATCAACTTTCATGTTGTTTATTGGTGTACTAAACATAGCCTCATACTGGCTTCTTAGAATTTCACTAATCTCTTTGTTGTCCTCTGTGTACGTACCTTCATTTGTAATTAACGGTCCAATACTGGTCGAGGTTTTGGATTTTGATTTGCCGTATGTGAAAAAGTATTTCGGATTTTTCCTTATCTCTTGTACAGCTTTCTGTTCCAATTCCATTTCCTCAGACTCATATGATCGCTTCAACGTTTGTTCTATTTCTTCGATCTCGCTGCTTAGGCTTATTTTCCTTGCTTGTGATAGTTGTGTCTGCCGAAGCATTTCCGTTATTTTTTTCCTTCTCCTGTACAGTTGTCTGCGTTCTCTTTCTAGAGTGGTCCTCTTTCTGCCCCTCCTCACAGGTACGTGCTTCAAGCAGACTTTGTAAGCTTCAGCTGTCAGTTGAGCTATTCCCTGTAATTACCTAAGTGTAATTACCTAAGTGTAGTTACAGGATGAGAGCTACGCTCGTGGTGTCCCGTCTTCCCAGCACTCTTTGTCATATAACGCTTTGAAACTACTGACGGTCTTGGCCTCCACCACCTTCTCACTTAACTTGTTCCAACCGTCTACCACTCTATTTGCGAAGGTGAATTTTCTTATATTTCTTCGGCATCTGTGTTTAGCTAGTTTAAATCTATGACCTCTTGTTCTTGAAATTCCAGGTCTCAGGAAGTCTTCCCTGTCGATTTTATCAATTCCTGTAACTATTTTGTATGTAGTGA